TGTCCAAACAGCTGCTCACTGTACTGGAAAATAACAAATTATTTGAAAAGTTTCAGTCTGGTTTTAGGAAGTACCACAGCACTGAGACTGCCTTGCTTAAAGTCACCAATGACCTTTTAATGTCTGCTGATGAAGGTATGTGCTCAGTCCTTGTACTCCTAGACCTTAGCGCTGCTTTTGACACCATTGATCACAACATCATGTTAGACAGACTGAGGCACTGGGACAGGGATCTCTGGTACTGCCCTAGAATGGTTTTCATCCTACCTGTCAAATAGGAAGTTTTGTGTGTCTGTAAACAACTATGTCTCCTCATTCTGTCCAGTTAAATAGGGTGTGCCTCAGGGGTCGGTCTTAGGACCCATTTTGTTTTCCTTGTATCTGCTTCCCCTTGGACATATTATCCATAAACATGGCATTTTTTTTCATATTTATGCTGATGACACACAAATATACTTGCCCGTCAGATCCACAGACCCTGGAATGCTGAGTTCACTTAACAACTGCCTTTGTGAAGTTAAAAAATGGATGTCAAATAATTTCCTCCAGCTGAACTCAGACAAAACAGAAATCCTGGTCATCGGGTCCCAGCAGATGGCAGATGGTTCCCTAGTAAATCACATTAAGCCTGTGGCAAAGAACCTTGGTGTTTGGTTTGATAGTAATTAAAATTTTGAGCAGCACACCACAAAGCTTGTTCAATCATGTTTTTATCAACTTAGAAATATAGCTAAAATTCGATCTATGTTAACTTTTAAGGACACCGAGACCATTTTACACGCCTTCATCTCATCACGCCTGGATTATTGCAACAGCCTTTTCACCTGTTTAACCCAAAAATCTATTGATCGACTCCAGACTGTCCAGAACTCAGCTGCCAGGCTTTTAACCAGAACAAAGAAATATGACCACATTACCCCTATTTTAGCTTCATTACACTGGCTCCCAGTATGTTTTATAATTGACTTTAAAATTCTATTGATCACTTTTAAAGCTCTTCATGGCCTCTCGCCTTGTTATATTTCTGACCTTTTAGTCCCATACGCACCAGCACGTACTTTGAGATCCTCGGGCAGAGGTCTGTTGTCTGTTCCAGAGTCTCGACTGAAAACTAAAGGGGACAGAGCGTTTGCTGTCAGGGCCCCGAGGCTCTGGAACAGCCTGCCTGAGGAAATCAGGTCGGCTGAACTCTTTTAAGTCCCTTCTTAAAACATACTTTTATAGGAGAGCCTTTCCCGATCTTATTTGACTTTATTTTATCCCTTTTATTTTATTGTATTTTACTAATTTTATATGAATTTTTCATGCTCTTATCTTGTTTTTTTTTTTGTATTATTCTTTACACTTGTTAAAGCACTTTGTAACTTGTTTTTGAAAAGTGCTCTACAAATAAAGATTATTATTATTATTATTATTATTATTAACCGAAGAAGGCAGTCTGCCGCCCACCCTGAGTCTAGGTTCTGCTCAAAGGCAAAATACTTTCTCTGTGGTGTTGGGGTTGACGCTACAAATTACTAAATTAACTTAGTGTCAGGTCAGAAGTAGGATCTCTCTTCAATATAGGCCTAATCATGATAAGGAATCATAAAATATTTCATTCGCAGCTCATCAAGTTTACTTCCACTCGTCTGCTGGTTTTGGTTATTAATGTATTTCTAATGTATTTGACTAAGATATCTTGCTTGCTCATTCATAAACTTTGTCTGCCATATAAATGGTTTCATTAATTCAGTCAACTATGAATTAATTAATTGTTCATGCTGTATTCAGTGCATTTATTGATGGCTGTATTTAATATATCATTTCGTCACCTTTGTACATTCATTTGGGCTTTCTCAGCCTTTAACAGTTGTGTGTGTATTAATTTCCATTATCCACATTTATTCATTGTTGTGTTTATTTATCCATTTTTATTCTTAGTAGGCGTTGTGTCTGGTGTGAAGTTTAATAAACCTTCTATTTATAAAGATTTTGATTAAATGAATATGTGGTGTCACTGTACAGTCAAGAACTCTGTTCTCTGCGAATCTGCTCTCTCTTCCATATGATTTCTTTATTGTGTGTTGAATTGTTGTTTAGTGTTTTCTTTAATTATTTACTTCAATGATAGAGAGAGATAAAGAGGTTCCATGTGCGCAGTAATGCTGTAGCAAATATCTTGGAACATTTCAGCAGCAAAAGTACAAACTGTAGTTCTTTCCAAATTCTTCAGATGAAACATAATTGAACTTTTAACCTCTGAAATACATTTTTAGATATCTCTGATGGAGCTCAATATTAATCAGGAGGCAGCTGCTGTACTTGGAACCTGGACTGTGTAGAAGAACACAGAACATTAATCAACATTAGAGCCTGACTGATTCTGTCGGCTTGTCGGGAGATTTAAATTATCAATGAAGTTACACTGCTGTGCCTTGTGCATAAAAGCGGACAGCGTCTCTCTTAATGGGGAGATTTGCGGATTATCCATGGTGCCAGTGGATATATGTGCATCACTAGAACCTGCCTATGCAGGCAAATCTTACTGTCGGAAGAATGCGCGCAAGTGAAGAGCAAGAAAACGCTGGGCCATTGACTTTAGACCAGGTTTTTGTTGTTCAATGGCGCAGTCGATTTCTACAACATCAAGATAGCAATGTGCATGACCACACTGCATTTTAAGATGTTTTTAGTATGCAGTATACTGTGTCATAATTAAATGAAAATGTGTGTGTGTAATTGCTGAATGAATTGTTTTTCATTGTGTCATGGATTTTCCAAGCTGCCTTAAAATCAAATCACAACACAGAAAACCAAGAGAAGACATATTGCATATCAGTGTTATCCAGAAGAGGACAGCATAGACTTTCCGAAATGTTGGGCAAGTTACTTGAAAACTGTAGTCAACGACTCATTACATATTACTGATTGAAAAAGTAATTAGTAATACAGTATACAGCAATACTTACTTTATTATATATAAAGTAGTTACTTTATTACTCATCAGCAAAAGTAATGCATTATATTCCTACTTTACTACTTTATTCCTAATTACTACTACTTTTGTTTCTTAGCCCAGCTTTGTCAAAGGTGCCTTTAAACAACTCCACATGTGTGTGTGGCTTTTTGGTTTGGTTTTACTTTATTTAATGTGTATGAATATAAAACAAGACAATGTGGTTTAACAAACAGGGATTTACTGACCATCGAGTATCTGCTAGCTTAGCCTCTGTGTCTGCATACAGCTCTTTTGAAGTCCTGACCTCAGCTGACTGGACATACAGTGGGTACGGAAAGTATTCAGACCCCTTTAAATTTTTCACTCTTTGTTTCATTGCAGCCATTTTCCAAAAATCAAAAAAGTTCATTTTATTTCTCAGTAATGTACACTCAGCACCCCATCTTGACAGAAAAAAACAGAAATGTAGAAATTTTTGCAAATTTATTAAAAAAGAAAAACTGAAATATCACATGGTCATAAGTATTCAGACCCTTTGCCGTGACACTCATATTTAACTCAGGTGCTGTCTATTTCTTCTGATCATCCTTGAGATGGTTCTACACCTTCATTTGAGTCCAGCTGTGTTTGATTATACTGATTGGACTTGATTAGGAAAGCCACACACCTGTCTATATAAGACCTTACAGCTCACAGTGCATGTCAGAGCAAATGAGAATCATGAGGTCAAAGGAACTGCCTGAAGAGCTCAGAGACAGAATTGTGGCAAGGCACAGATCTGGCCAAGGTTACAAAAAAATTTCTGCTGCACTTAAGGTTCCTAAGAGCACAGTGGCCTCCATAATCCTCAAATGGAAGACGTTTGGGACGACCAGAACCCTTCCTAGAGCTGGCCGTCCGGCCAAACTGAGCTATCGGGGGAGAAGAGCCTTGGTGAGAGAGGTAAAGAAGAACCCAAAGGTCACTGTGGCTGAGATCCAGAGATGCAGTCGGGAGATGGGAGAAAGTTGTAGTAAGTCAACCATCACTGCAGCAATCCACCAGTTGGGGCTTTATGGCAGAGTGGCCCGACGGAAGCCTCTCCTCAGTGCAAGACACATGAAAGCCCGCATGGAGTTTGCTAAAAAACACCTGAAGGACTCCAAGATGGTGATAAATAAGATCCTCTGGTCTGATGAGACCAAGATAGAACTTTTTGGCCTTAATTCTAAGCGGTATGTGTGGAGAAAACCAGGCACTGCTCATCACCTGTCCAATACAGTCTCAACAGTGAAGCATGGTGGTGGCAGCATCATGCTGTGGGGGTGTTTTTCAGCTGCAGGGACAGGACGACTGGTTGCAATCGAGGGAAAGATGAATGCGGCCAAGTACAGGGATATCCTGGACGAAAACCTTTTCCAGAGTGCTCTGGACCTCAGACTGGGCCGAAGGTTTACCTTCCAACAAGACAATGACCCTACGCACACCGCTAAAATAACGAAGTAGTGGCTTCACAACAACTCCGTGGCTGTTCTTGAATGGCCCAGCCAGAGCCCTGACTTAAACCCAATTGAGCATCTCTGGAGAGACCTGAAAATGGCTGTCCACCAACGTTTACCATCCAACCTGACAGAACTGGAGAGGATCTGCAAGGAGGAATGGCAGAGGATACCCAAATCCAGATGTGAAAAACTTGTTGCATCTTTCCCAAAACGACTCATGGCTGTATTAGATCAAAAGGGTGCTTCTACTAAATACTGAGCAAAGGGTCTGAATACTTATGACCATGTGATATTTCAGTTTTTCTTTTTTAATGAATTTGCAAAAATTTCTACATTTCTGTTTTTTTTCTGTCAAGATGGGGTGCTGAGTGTACATTACTGAGAAATAAAATGAACTTTTTTGATTTTTGGAAAATGGCTGCAATGAAACAAAGAGTGAAAAATTTAAAGGGGTCTGAATACTTTCTGTACCCACTGTATGTCACTATGTCTCATATCACACACTCCACACACCTCAATGCCTCTGTCCTACACAAACATACAGCATCACAAATGACCTTTGTGGGTGTGAGTCTCACCAGGAAAGTGGCAATGGCAGTGCCAATGATAAAGCCAGCGATGACGTCCGACCAGTGGTTGCGGTATTCAGCCACACGGTTCAGACCAGTGAGAAATGCCAGGCACATAAGTCCGAGAGACAGCACTGGCTTGGCCAGACGAGTGCCCTTCGCCTGCACTGTGCACGTCACATACATCTGCAAGGGAAGAGAGATGCAAGGATTAGATGATCTGAATTTTTCTTGTTTTAGTTAAGAAATATTGCAAAACTTAGGTGTCTCCTTTGTTGCAAAAATATCTGGAGACATTCTTCTATGCTAATAAAACATGACACTATTGCAACACCTTGTTCACCTGCTTCTGCCAGTCTGCATTTGCTCAAGTAAAACATAACTGTTCCAGAGCCCTGAAGCAAGGTTCTTGACTAAAACAAGACTCACCGTTTTAGCCTTCATTAAGTGGCCCTAGTTTAACCACTGGTGACATGTTGGTAAGCGACTTAGATTTCTGTTTGCTAAAATAATTACAGATCCATAAAATTATTATTTTTTGTATCTGCCATGGTCTGCACCATTTGCAGATAAAGATTTGTTGACCAAAAAAGACATTTACTATCATCTATCAAGCACAAGAGTGTGTTTAGATTGTATTTGAGTTTGACATATTTGGGTGTTACAGTCCAGTTGAAACCTTGAGGACTGGGTTAATGTGTTCAATTGTAAATAATGTTTTTGCAATGAGTTTTGCAATTTAAATGTCCACACCTTCTACTGTATCTGAAACATCCAGTCCTCACCAGAAAATTGGCTATGTAGGTCGACTGTGTTACTACCGTCTCGGGTTACGTATGTAACCCTGGTTCCCCGAGAAGGGGAACGAGACACTGCGTCGGTTACGACACTATGGGAACGCCTCTAGGCGTAGCAGGTCTGAACGTGAATGAAATCACTCCAATCCTATTGGTTTGTTGCTAGAACGGTAAGGTGTGACGGAATAACCAGAGGAGTATAAAGCACACCTGTACACACTCATCATTAGCTTAAACTATGAAGCAGGCGCTTCAGGCGGGGAGAGAGGTGCGGCGGGCCGACGCAGTGTCTCGTTCCCCTTCTCGGGGAACCAGGGTTACATACGTAACCCGAAACGTTCCCCTTCGAGGGAACTCGAACTGCGTCGGTTAAGACACTATGGGAACGAGATACCCACTAAACCGTGCCGAAACCCCGCCTGCCCCAGTGTGCAATAAAGTGGCATGACTAAGAGGAGAGCGCACGAGTGCCAGGTGCCGAAGGAAGGTCAAGACTGTAAAACCGAATGAATGTGTGCGGAGTGGCCCAGCCAGCCGCTACACAAACATCCTACAAAGAGGCCCGGAAAGGAGGGCTCAAGAGGCCGCCATGCCTCTGGTAGAATTATCCCTCACAGCCACAGGTGAAGGCAAACCGCGCACCTGATAGGGCAGAGCAGATGAAGTCTCCCGTCGTCCGCCGTCACATGAGGTGGAGGATGAAATGCCTGCAGCACTGTGGACCCTGCCGCACAAGAAGGCACTTTAGGGATGTATCCTGGATGAGGGTGCAGGATAGCCCTAATATTCCCCGTGGCAAACTCCAGGCTTTGCGGGGTAACCGAAAGCGCTTGGAGATCCCGCACCCTCCTCAGAGAGGTGATAGCAAGGAGAAAGGCCATCTTGAGGGTCAAGTGCTTAGCCTCAGCTGACTCCAGGGGTTCGAAGGGGGCCTCAGCCAACGCCCCAAGAACCACTGCCAGATCCCAAGTGGGAACCTTGGACCGAGTCGCAGGTCTCATCCTCCGGGAACCACGGAGGAAGCGTACAACCAAGGGAAGTTTCCCCAAAGACCCCTCCCTCAGAGGGGTGTGGAAAGATGAAATAGCTGCCACGTACACCTTGAGGGTGGAAGGGGAAAGACCAGCAGAGAACCGGTCCTGGAGGAACTCAAGTACCTGAACCACCGGGCAGGTAACAGGGTCCACCGACCGCTCCCTACACCAAGTGGAGAAACCGTACATCCTCCGTGTGGACGGGGCCCTGGAGCTGAGGAGGGTCTCGACTGCTCCGGCTGTTGGACACGCCTCTAGGTACTGTGCCCCCTCAGGGGCCAGACCCACAGTCGCCACACGGCGGGGCAAGGGTGAAGAACCTGGCCCTGTGCCTGGGACAGCAGTTCTCTCCTCAGAGGGGCCTGCCACGGCGGGCCGTCCAGGAGCGACATGATGTCCGACAACCACACCGGGGTTGGCCAGAACGGGGCTACGAGCAGTAGGCTGACATTGTCCTGGCGGACCCGCTCCAGAACCCCCGGGAGCAGAGCAACTGGGGGAAAAGCGTACAGACGTAGCCTGTACCATGTAGCCACGAATGTACCATGGCGTCCAGACCCAACGGGGCTGGAGGAACGAGAGAAAACCATAGCGGGCAGTGTGTAGTTTCTTGAGACGCAAACAGATCCACGTCTATGGGGCCGAACTCTTCGCACAAGAGCTCCACCACTTCGGGGTGAAGTTTCCATTCCCCGGGCCTCAGCCCCTGCCTCGACAGCAGGTCTGCTCCCTGATTCTGCGTCCCCGGGAGGGATGAAGGTCAGGTTCATTAGCCACCAAGCAGCTATGTGTAAATATGAGCTGATATGTCAAGTCTCTCTTCAGGGCATATTTCTATTTTATCCCCTGTATTTAGAAAAGTGCTGGCAGATATATCACTGGAACTAGAGGATTCAAAAAATATATCACGGTATGAAGAAAGAAGCAGAATATTAGATTGATAAATAGAAAACATGGGAGGAGTGACAGAAAACAAAGAAAGTAGAGGCGGAGAATGATACCCAGAGGGAGACATGACAAATAAGTGAGGTGAGGTGGAAGGGGAGAGGAGGTGACAAGGAGAGCTGGGTAAAAGTAGTTGTATTTTTCCAGTGTGAGCACCACAAGAATTTGCTGAAGATGTAAATGGAGATGTAATTTGTATTCAGTTAAAAAGGAATAGGAAATGACAACTAATCTCATTTGTTTACCTATGATATCAGCTTGTGGTAACAAAATTATTAGCATTTATTATAAACATCAACATTATTGAACTCAAAGCACTTAGTTAATATAATAATAATAATAATAATCTTTATTTGTAGAGCACTTTTCAAAAACAAGTTACAAAGTGCTTAAACAAGTGTAAAGACAATAATACCCAAGAGACAATAATACAAAAACAATACAAGATAAAAGCATGAAAACATTGAAAAGACTAAAATACACATTTAAGATAAATATAAAATTTGGAAAATACAATAAAATAAAAGGGATAGAATAAAGTCAAATAAGATCGGGAAAGGCTCTCCTATAAAAGTATTTTTTATGTTAGTTAATGTAAGGAAATATTGAAAAAAGCCAGCAGTGGCAAAAGAAAAGCCACAATTTCCCACTAACCTTCACTACAGTGTAGTCTAAACCTTGTCTCTGGTGTCAAAGTCCTGGGCTTTGCAAAAGCAACCCCCACTTTTCATTTGCTAACTTGTTCCGCCATATGAACATTATTTGAATTGAAACTCTTTCATTGCACATGTGTTAATAATGAGATTATATAATAAAACCAGAGAGTGTCAGATTCACTCGTGTTAAAACCTTTAAAGACCTTTTGACCAATCCTGTGACATTTGTGGAGGTTGGAGAGGAGCCTCTGGTACAGCCAGCCAGAGTTAGGGCAATGGTTGGCTGCTGAAATGCCACAAAACAGCCTGTGGCTCTGCAGGTGGAACAGAATATTTTCTTACTATTCTTTACAGTGTAAATAATTTTATATGAATAAGTGTATTATGAAAAACAGCAGTAGATCTATGAGTCAGCATGGTTGGACTGATTTCTCACAAGATACAAAATACACTCAGATAGCATTAGAAGATAACAATTTTTCACATTTCCAAATCTGAACACCTTCAAATATGACAGTATTATGAAAAGTCTATTCAGAACAAGTAGACAATTGTGTTTTAGCAGTTACCCTCCACATTGGAGCTGTTTCTTAAACAACCATGTGATACATCCAATCTGGCCTTGTTTTAGTGCCATAATATCAACCTTGGAGAAGATGGGGGCAGGCAGAGAGAGAGAAACAGACAAATATAGACCAGAGGAACCATGTCTATGTTTGGCGCTCATCACTATTCTGTTGTTTTGAGGCAGCAGACTGTCTCTAAGGGCCTAATTGTATTTTTTCATTAGCGTATGCAATCTCTTCCAAAGCCAGATCAAATGTTTCCATTTCTCTCTCTGCAGTTAATTTATTCTTCATCTCTTTTGGTTATTCAGGAATTAAGAATACCATGTTTCACTTGCGGGGGGGGGAGGGGCGCAAAGGCACTTTTTGTAATTTGGTTGGTGAGGCTGTCCTGGTGCACCTGTGTAACCCACATGGAGTGTGATCAGGAACAATACATTATCATACATTGCGGGTGAGTGTGTTAGAGGCTGTCTCAATAATGGCCAATCACATTTGTCCCCCTTCAAATCCCCTTTAAACACCGTGCTCTCCTCATCAAGACGCACCGACAGTTTGGGAAGCTTATTATTGTCCGGGATGTGCAGAGTTTCCGATATGATTTGCTGTAGAAATTTGTAAAATAATTAACCAAACTGACAAGTTTAATGTGCACATAAACACAGAGATTTCTGTACTTATTTTAATTAACAGTCTGGTGCTGTTTGCAAAAAAACAGTTGTAAACCTTCTGCCTTCAGATGGCTTTAAAAAGAGTTATATTAAGTTGAGAGTTGGTTATGTGGTCAGTGTGTATCTGTAGCCTGAACCTAATTTCGAGCAGAGTCACGGCCCCTCAAGTCTTTGTGGTTTGTATGAGCTGTATAATCAGTTTTATACACACAGACACACACACACAGACACAGACACACACACACACACACACACACACACACACACACACACACACACACACACACTCAACTTAATTTGCCTTAACAGCCTTTGCAAGTGTTTCATAGCTAGGTGCACGCTCTAACCTATATTTCCCAATTAATGTCAGACATTAGCAGCTGTTGGCATGCTCACTATATCAGAGGCTTGTCAGCTAAATGGAGAGTGCAACATAAAAAATTTAACTGAGGGAGGAGAGGCTGAGCAGCTTGTCCTCCCGCACTGATGAAACAGTGCCGAGCGGAGGACGGAGGAC